ATACAGATCGTGAAACTTATCTGTTAGAAAGTTGTGTATAACTTGAATTTTGTTTTACTGTTGATATACACTTTCATGTGTTTTAGGAAAGAGTAGTTAGGAAGTTACCTTTGCCATAAGGGGATACTGCACGTAAACGGTGCGTCGCTTTCACATGAGTTCTACGTTCAAACTTAACTAGAGCGTTAAAATTGTTTAAACCACGTTAAAAATGTTTTCTACGTGTAGCTACTACTACGTTGCCTAATTATTCTGTTTGTTTAATGAATATAAAACAAGGTAAAAGTAAAAGATTATTCTGATTACGCGATTAGACAAAAAAAAATAATAATTAAAGTTTGTATAGGTTGTATGAATATTTTTTTCTAATTTAAAAAAATCAAAATAAATTGATAAAACGCGATAAATGAAAAATAAATTGATTCCTTCTTTGTGTTAAAACATATCATGTAAACTTACTTATATATAATATTATCCAGTATTACGTATAAACTCAAAAGTATATCCAAGTTATTTCATTTTGTAGATGAAATAACTATTCACGTTAATAGTGTATGTTGGTGGTATGCGTATACAACGAGAAAGGAATTTAAATTGCTTACAAAGATTCCAGATATTATACCCACTTGTAATATCCGTTATCAACGAAACGTGTGGTATCTTGATATAAAAAAGGGAACAGAATCAAGTAGGAAAAGAATAAAAATAGTCCTTATATATTTACCTTTCTCTACTTCTTTCTGTTTCTTTACTTTGAACAAATACTCGCTTTGCTTCGTTTATATACGTAATTCTTTCTCGGTTAGACAGTTTTTCAAACTATAGTACATATACCATTACTGGTATATTACGGTATTATTGGTGGTACAATTTTTACACAAAGTATTGTATATAATAAACGTTTATAATATTTTATTTTTTAATTATAAATACTCTATTTCGAGAGATGTATTGATTTTTTAAAATCGGAAAATATTTTTATTATATTACATATATTTGTTCATTTTTATTTATTTGATACAAATTGTTAAAAGGTTTGCAAAACCACCCCTGCTCTTTATAAGTTTGTTCTTTTCCATGAAACAGTATACTGTAATGCGTGCATTATAAAATATAGAAATAGGATTGGTCAAGAAGTCATGTATTTCAGTCGTTCAAAGGATTATTTTCGAAATAATGCACTTTGTCTTAACGTCGTCGGTTGTTGATAAAATCGAAAAGTGATGAAGTGTAGGGGAAAAATCTTGGAAGAAAAAAAGTCGTCAGATTTTTCAACGTTATAACAATGCTCGACAGACTGAAAACTTTTTCGCATTATTTTTTATCATATTATCTTTAGTACTCCAACTATGTGAGCTTTCAATGTTTCCCGGACGAAGACTAAAACGAGGTGACGATGATGTGATACTTGAATAATTTGTCATCCGCAATAAAATATAATAAAAGATACAAGAAGTAAAGAACAAATTCATTACGAGAATAAATTTTATCGAAAATTATTATGTTCGACAAATTTTTCTAATCATTCTTATTATTAATCATAATATTATTAAACAATAATTATATAACACGCATACATATACGTAGTATTTTGAATACTTCACAAACTTTTAATAAACGTAATTTGTTTTTTAATTTTACGCCAAGAAATATGACATCTTACGTGTGTAACTATTATATATCATACGAGATTAATAAAAACTTGGAAAGATCACTTTCATAAGGGATCGTAAAAGATTAGGTCTCTCTCTCTCGGTCTTTCTTATTTTGTTGTATTTCAAAAGATCGATGAACGAAAATCAAGCTGACGTTTTAATGTGGCTAACACGCAGTTTCTTCATCAGATCGGTATATCGAATTGATCAAATAAAGTAAGACATAGTAGGGATTATCGATGACGATGTCTTCAAAGCTAAACGCATTAAGATATTCGATATTGAAACGTCTAATATATCTTCCAACGATGAAAAAAAAAAAAAAAAAAAGAAAAAAAAATACACGTCTATCGCGTTCGTGAAATATTACCGATCTTGCATCATCCTTTTAGAAATTCATTTTATCCTATATAATCGTATTCAATAATTTATCCTTCGTTAAATCTGCAATTTGTAAAAAAACAAAATAACGATTATAAATATTTGAAGTACATCTTGCGAAGGAAAATCATTATTTAATTAATTACTCAAATTATATTAAATAACGATTATCTTTTATTTCATTAGAATTAGGTAAGCAGTTAATGCAAAATCAAAATTCTTAGCTTGATGCAACGCAAATGCAAGTAATTTTGGTTTCTTTTTTTTTCTTCTTTACGATTTTTGTTTCTCTTTTTAGTGTTTTATTTCTTTTTAAAGGTTTCAATACTACGACGTCATAAATCAGTGGATATATAGTTTGACTTCGACCGTTCAATTTGCGAACGTCGACGCACCGGCACACTGGGGTTTCTACAGTTAATTAATCTTCATATCAGATAGAGTCAAGATACTATCTCGAGGACAAGCTATCCTTTCTTTCATTCTTTCATTCTTTCTTTCTTTTTTTATTTATTTTTCCTTCTTCTTTCTTCTTTCTATTTCTTTTTTCATCATCCTCTGTTTTGAAATATAAAAGCGGAGCATTCGAGAAGACGCTCGGGTGAGATGATAATTTTTCATCGACTTCTTTTGAAATCACATTTTCGTGATAATTTAAAAAGTAAAATTATAAAATGAAAAAAAAAACAAACATTTAACGAAGAATGAGACGATCAAATTTGATTCGTCATAAAAGCAACGATCGTTACTTTTCAATCCTATTTGATTAAATGTAATGATACGGCATTTTATTTATTTGTCCAATACATTGAAACGTCTAGAAAAATCTTCTAACTTATAATTACAAAAATAAAAAGAATAAATATAATGTTATATTAAAGTTAGAAGAAGAAAAAGAAGAAAAAAAAAATATTCTTATTTTCATCGAAATATATAAAGATGATTCCCCTAATGACGTGATATGAGGAACGAAAGATAAGTAGTGAGCTTATTTGCAATTCTAATAAAGGAGAAATAGTAGAGGAAGAAAAAAAAAGAAAAGAAGGAGAAAAAAAAGGTCGACGAATGAGATCGATAGCAATTGCAAAATGAGAGAGAAAGAGACAGAGACAGAGAGAGAAGAGAGTCTTGATTCAACGAATAAGTCGAGTTGCAACCTTCGTCGCCATGTTCAGCTCGTTTACATTCGCAGTAGGGCAACCATTGAAAAGAAAAAAAAAAAAAAAAAGAAAAATAAAAAAAAAAAAGAAATTAAAAAGACGTGGCACCTGGTTGGATTCCGAGTCTCCGGAGGCGTCCGAGAAACTTCACAAAAGTCTCACCGAGAGAGAGAGAGAGAGAGACTTATCTAGCTAGGAAAGCGTGAAGGAAAAAAGCGAAACGAAAAGAAAAGAGAACGGAATATTAAAAAAAAAGGGAAAATATAAGAGAAGAGAAGTGGGAACTCCCTTTGCGAATCATCATGTCGACGATACGAGTAGGTACGTTTACATCTAACCTTCTCTTATCTTCTTTCTTACTATATACGTATGTGTACTTTCCAACTGATAAGGACAAACTTTTAAAGACGGTGGTAAAAGGAAGAAAGAAAAAAATAGATAGAAAGGAAGATAGAGAGAGAGAGAGAGAGAGTGATGGATGGAAAGAAAAAAAAAAAAAGAAAGAAAGTGGGTGGGAAAAGAGGAAGTCGATAAAAAAGTCGAGAAATTGGCAACGGTAAACGTGAAAGAAAGTGAGAGAGAGATAAAGGAATGTTTGTAGAGGCTGAAAGTACGACAAAAGTTAGTTTTCTCTTGTTGAAATACAACGCGAAACGTCGTTGAGAAGTTAATCAACGAAGAAGGAAGAACATCGGGCAGAAGACCCCGGTCGAGAGACATTTTGTGCTTTCAGAAACGTGGTGCGGTCTGAAATCTTATTCGAGAATGGAGAACGTGTGCACGTGTCGATCTTAAACCGAGCATAGGATACGCTACACGCTTTGTTTACTTCCTTTTATCCTTCCTTCCTTCCTTCCTTTCTAACGTACAATGAATCTTAAAAGGTTCTTTTGATTAATCTAGAAAATACGTAATCCTAAAAGATATTCTCGTCAGCTTTAGGCGTTTCGTTTAAACGTAAAACATTTGTGTTGATATAGAAACTTTGTTCCTCGTTAAGTAACTCTTCCCGAATGATTGATTTAATCGTATTACGCGTTACGTTTTAATATCAGTTATATTTTGATTTGTTATTTAATAGAAATACGATTAATATTATATATGTATAGATAAGAGAGAAATAGATTATAATGAAATATTATTTAAATTTGATAGAAAATTATACGGACGGAATTATTCTAGTATATTATAATGCTCTCTTTGAATAACTTTTGAAATTATATTTTCTAGAAAAAATTATTTTCATATATATATATACATAAGTATATACGAAAGTTGGGTAATTTTGAGCAAAGTATTATGCAACGTACGTAACCTTTCTTTCTTGACGGTCTTTTAAAAATGTAAAAAAAGGTTCGTTTTACTTTTGTACCGTTGAAAAATTCGTTATTAAAGATAACGTTATATACTTACGGTATAAAGTATAATATATTGTACAAAGAATAATTTTTCAAAATTAGTTACAAAAATAAAGTATAGTAAGTTAAATGCCACAATCTATTTATTTCATACAATTGCTTATTTAATTACATACAGCCAATAATTAGTACGTTGTCCGTTAACAGTTAAAATTATTGTTGATAAAGTTCAATGTTTAATAAGATAAAGATATTTGTCGACTCACGTATAAACGTACAACACTAATACATTTTAACAACTACAATCGAGTGTGGATCATACATATGCACCAGACTGCACGTATCCGCTTCCAGTTAACTTGGATCACGAGCACAGCATCCCGATATTACCGGTAGTAGTTCCCGAGGGTCCTTCCCGCAATTTAAATGGCCGCGACACGCAGCAAATGTCTCTCGGGCTTGGCCAACAACATCGGCTTACCCACAGTTTGGCCTCTGTTGGTTCCAGTGTCTGTCGGATATGTCACACCAACACCGTTAAGGAACCCCTTGTTTCTCCGTGCAGGTAAAAAGTATTCCAAGAAAAACGATCACTTGCTTAAAATATTCCTGTCCAATTTTGATATACATTCGAATATGAAGAAAAAGTAAAAATAAATTCTTTATTATAATTAATAATAATTATTATATATTTTTTTATTCATTTCTTTTTTTTATTTATATTTTTATCAATAACTTTTGAATATGTATATATTTTTATGAATTAATAAGTAATAACTAAGATTAAGATATAACCAAGATTTATTTCCCGAATAATGATAATTATTACCGTCAAATTAGACGAAGACATATGAATGATAATAGTCAATCATAATTGATCCGTTCGATTCCAAATCAGAGATTTCGGTATGTGGCCAACTAAATCTATGAATTCGAAGCACTAATTAATTCTACCTGTATTCCAGTCAACAATTATCGTCTCCTTATTACCGAATAATAATTATGAAATCGAATATCACCATTACGTTATACTCGTTTCCTAATAATTCCTATTCCGAGATATGAGAAGAGAAAAATATATCAATTAAAGTCACGTTCAAATTTATCTATATATGTATATACAGTGACGTCCAAAAGGAGTAGAATTAAACTCATACTTACGTAGAGTACTAAACATGTAATCAAATAAATGAAAAAAATATTCAAAACAAATATATTTTAGTATAAATAATCCGCGATATCAGTAAGATTCATCAAAATTATGCGATATGCATTAAATAATTTTCTCTTTATCACTTATAAGAAAAGTATCACTTAAAAAAAGAAAAAAGGGGGGAAAAAAAGAGAACAGAAAACATCGAAAACACGTTTATTCTAATTAACCTAACCGACTAGCATTCAAATGAAGCGTGTTTAGGAGTTAACAATAACGTATTGACAGTCAATCTCGTAGAAACAATAGTCGTGTTCTGGTAGAATCCTTGAGCGATGACATAACAATAGTACGAATAGGTTCTGCTTGTGGGAAGGGTGAATAAGAGGGAGGGTAAGCGTCGTTACACGTGTTTCACGTAGCCCTGAAAGCCGCTAAATTAATTCGACGCTCCGGCAAACGTTCCTCGCGCCTTTCAATCACCCTCGATTGTCGTTTTCAGCTTTCTCTCTCTCTCTCTCTCTCTCTCTCTCATTTTCTCTCTTTCCCTTTCCCTTTCCTTTTCCCTTTCCCTCACCCATTTCGGTCTTTCTCTTTCTCGCTTCGAGCTAGCCACATTTGTCCCTCAGAGAAGGGTGAGGAAAAACAGAGAGAAATGGAGAGTGGCTAAGGGGGTTGGAGGAAGAGAGAGAGAGAGAGAGAGAGAGAAAGCGTCGACCACCGTGACACCCCGACTTTAATCGAATTAATGCTCCGAGCTCGCGTTGTACCGTTTTAATCTCGGCTCGTCCCGAAGCCACGTTACACTGTGAAAATGGTCTGTTCAGGATAGTTCCTGAGCAATATGCCACACGTTCTCAACGACAAAACCATGTAATCACGACGTACGTCTCTACGTTCGACAAATTTTAAATACTCTACTTGAATATCTGTACTCTTTTAAATTGAAATTATCGATAACGTTTGACTAACGATGATAAATATTCGTAAATGTTCAATCTGTAAATGCAATTCGTTAGATCAATATTTTTCTATTTCTTTAACACACGTGATAAGGATCTGTTTAAATTTGTTTTATTTTATTATTATTATTATTATTTTGTGTGGTAATTTTTTGTTATTTGAATAAATACATCTCATTACAATAAGCATTTTAAAAATGTTAAATCAATGATGACAAATATTCGAGAATTTAATCTGTAAATGTGTAGCAATTAGATAAACAAATTTTTTTAATTCGTTTACGTACACGATAAGGATCTATTCAAATAATTCTTATTTTTTTTTTTTTAATATTCATTATACAGGGTGACCTATCTCTTCGTATATTCGAATAAAAGTTTTATTCAAATGAGTAGTGAATTTATTTTTCTATATATATATATTTTTTGTTGTTCTTCTATCAACTTGAAAACGCGTAAAATATATTCGGAATAAAGGGAATTTGTAAAAGTGTTTCTTTTCTGTATAATCACAAGTGCTTGAGAAATCAAATCAAATCTCGACGTAGATAGAAAGTTTCGATCGTCCGAGTACTTTCGCGCGACACTCAAACCCGTTGAGATTTTCCTGATTGTTTTATAATTCCCTCAACGAGAAGAGAAACGTTCGCGCGACCACGAAACTCGAGTAATAAATTTGTAACACGCTGTCGTCGAAAACTCGTGAAAACAACTCTCCTTTCTCTCTTACTCTCTCTCTCTCTCTCTCTTTCTTTATTTTCTCAACTTTTAACATATTTTCAACTTAAATTCGTTATCTCGAATTTGTTTCGAATACTTTTCCAATTTCTTATCAACGATTAAAT